AAATGGCCAAATCACGCCAAAATGACGAAATATGTGAAGCTCTCGTTACAAAGAACAACAAATTGAAATATAATCAAACATGTACGTATGCTAAAGAAAGAAATGATACCCAAAATAATCAGAGATACAATAAAGACTGTTTTTATTGTGGCTAACCGGGCCATATAAGTCGTAGTTGACGTTCCAAAATAAATCATAATAATTCCCGTTCGGCACTGGTAGCAATACTGAACTCGAAAAATCAAATATTTGGTATTTGGGTAGTGGTGCGACGGAACGTATATATAACTCGGAAAACGTATTTGCCATGTTAAATCGAATGATGCCAACAAATGTTTATATGGCTGTAGACTATTCTGTAGCACGTGGTAAAGGGACAGTAGAATTAATTGTTTGTGTAAGTAATAACAGATCCGCAATTGATATAAAAGACATTATTAATTAAAAAACAATTTGTTGTCTGTACCTACTGTAACGAATAAAGCATCTCAAATAAATTTCGGTCGAAACAATGCGGTAGTGAAACACGCGGACGGTGCAGTTGTACTGACAACAACAAAGTATGGACAATATATAAAGTAAATCAGAATAAACGTCACGTAATGTGCGTGAACCGTGAAGATGATAATACTATGAGGTGGCATCAGCATTTAGGTCACTTAAATATAACTAATTTAAAAAAACTATTTTCGCATGAAATGGTGGGCGGTATGAATTTACGTTCAAATATATCTAAGATAGAATGTGAGATATGCAATAAAGCAAAAATTTACCAACAACCACATAAAGGAGTATCTAAAAAGAAACCTGAAAAATTGTCTTTGAAACATTCGGAAATTTGTGATCCAATGAGAACAGAATCGTTAGGACTTGCTATTCTGTTCATCGATGATAGCACTAAATACACGGAACCTGTAATGTTATCTCTATTACTTGTAAAGTAATCGGAAGTCTTCGAAGCTTTTAGAAGGTACAATCGACGCGTTGAAAAAGAAACAGGCTGTATGATAAAATATCTATAAACGGATGACGCAAAGGATTATTTATCAAGAGATATCATGGAATTCTTAGAAAATGGAGGAATTAGACGTCAACTGACTATAGAGTATAGCCCACAGGAGAACGTAGTTGCAGAACACACAAATCGAACTCTGGTCGAGATGGCAAGAGGTACGATTCAAGCAGGTTTTCCTTAATCATTTGGGGCAGGTGATATTAATACGGCGACTTACATTAGAAACAGATGTCCGAAAAATGTATTGAATGACAAAACGTCTTTAGAAACATGGTTTGATCAAAAACCATACGTAAGTTTTCTTAGAGCGATCGGAAGCAAGGGAATAGTCCTTGATAAAAGAAGATATCGCGGTTAAATTTGAGGCAAAAGGAGATAAATACGTCTTGATGGAACTATGATAACTTATCTAAGACATATCGACTGTGGAGACCGAATACAGAAACGGTAATCAAAGCACGCGATGTAAAATTTATGGAAACGTCAAATTCAGAGAGAATTACATATAAATTATCACTTCCGTTATCAATACTCAATAAAAATAACAAAGTAAGGTCTACAAAAGAAGATACAAAAGAAGAAAACATAGAAGAAGAAGTAGGGAACTATCAAGTTTCAGAAGAAGAAGAAGCGGAAACCAAAGAAATAGACGAGTCACCGGCACCCAAAAATAAAGATTTAGAACGCAGATGTGGAAGGCCAAAAATATTGAGAACCGGAAAGAGAAGTAGACTAAGAAAACTTCCCAAATCAAAAAAAAAACGAGTTCAAATAACGTGAAAAAAGCAATAGAAAAAGAAGATTCGTATTTATGACTAAATGCAATGAACGTTGAATATGAAACATTGTGCAGAAATAAAACGTGAATACTTGTTCCGAGACGCAAAGGCAAGAAAGTTCTC